CAGCGTGCACGCGCAGCGGGGCCCCTTCCCCGTTCGAGAACACGGATGCGGAAGGCAGGCTGCGTCACAGGGCGGCACCACCACCAGCACCGACGAGATGCTCTCGCAAGGGCTCGGGGCTTCTAAAAAAACCGTCCCAGTGGTTGAAACTTGCTTCTTCTTAGAGACTCCTTTCTTCATCAGCATAGCACAGAAAGCAGGCATCCCTCAGCGCCGTCCGAATCGGAGACCGTTCCAACAGCAGAGCCACGCGGAGAACCACTGCTCATTCTCCTGACGGCTCACAGCGCAGGACCGCGTCGCCCCGCACCGCACCTCGGTCAGGTCACGGCCTCCGCACCGAGCAGAAGCAACGAGAGCGTTCAGACGGCCAGCGACCGCGTCATTCTCTCTCGCCAGAAGAGTCAAGCGAGGCTATGTCTCACGCTTCTTGACAACACAGCTAACCCAGTAGTTTCTGGAACTTAAACTCTGAAGGTTGCCACCTGAGAGGCGCCCCCCCCTCCCTTTTCCGGGACACACCCGGCGATGCCAAACAGTCACGCAGGCAGAGTCGCTTCCGCAGCTCCCGGGACCCTCGCGGGGATTAGCACGCCACCTGGATTTTCTGGGAGAGCACGGTGGGGTACGACAGTCGGAGAAGGCTAAGCCAAGGCAGACGAGCAGCGTAAGCCCCGGGTTTGCCACCTCCGCTCCCCAAATGGTGTAAAGCACTGGGGTGTCTTCCCTCGGCCAAGGCTGGAAGGAACCGGACTGCAGGTCACAGATACCGCGGAGCGGGAAGACAAGAGACGAGAAAAGGATCTCTAGGCAATCTTTCCGACGAGCTTCTCCCTCCTTCAGTTCTCACCCGCTGTTGTGCCGTCGCTAGCTTTGGGTTTCGATTTAGACTTGAAGGAGAAGCGCTTGATGAGGCGGCGGGAGAAGCTGGCAGCTTTGCAGAGTCGGCGGTGACGTTGGACAAGTCATCGTGCGACTGGCTCAGGCCCGATTCCTTCTGCTTGCTCCTCCTCCGGAAGATGAGCTTGGTACCGCTCCGAAGAAAGCTAACTGCAGAGACAGAAAGGAAGGAGACGGAAACCACAATAGTATCCTGCCCTGGTGAGTCTCGGAGGCAACAACGCACCCGGCCGCTCTCAGATGAGCGGCAAAGACCTCTTCCTCCCCGAGCGGCAGAAGCGCACGGCAGGTCGGCGAATCCCAGCTCCCACCCACGAGGCAAAGTCTACGCTCGGGACAGACCGCAATACCAACAAGCCGCTTCGCTGAGCACGCCGTCGCGCGTCCCCTCCGCATAAACTTCCTTCCACGCAACAACGTCCTCCCTTCGGTGGAAACACGCAGAATTGTAACAGAAAGCTAAGACTCGTATGAATGGAAAACAAGTGAGAGTGTCTGCATGCGGAGACACCGGGAGGAACACGAAACAGGGAAAAGGCCCGTCGAGACTAGCCCGTCTCAAGGGCGCCCGGATCAGCTGGTCCTTAAGCCCCCGGAACAACCGCCCGCCATCTCACAAGATACCCGAATCCGGAGACCTGTAACGGCAACGGCTCTAGCTAACTCAAGCAAGCAGGAGGGGACAGAGACACCGATTGCCAAACAGGTGCAAAAAGGCACACGCAAAACCTGCACGCCATACAAAGCAAAACATTATCTCCTACAGAGGGGGCTCGCTTTCTCTTTTCTTCCTTCTCTTCCTCGTCCGCCAGGTCTCTCAAGAATCTAGGCCACACGCACCCTTCTACCCGCTGACGTGCAAACAAGGGGCCACCACGGTTTAAACCCTACCCGGTCGCACCAGGGTACGACCCCCTCAAAACTCATCCCACTCTCATACTCCGAGCAATGGAGACTTTGGCTTGTGCTTCTTTACGTCAGTTTGCAACCAACCGAAACCGTCAGGACTACAAGCAGACAAATCCAAGGTGCGCCATCTGCCTCACTGACCCAAGCCCAGAAAGTCCAGAACATCGGTTCAGTGGGGGCAGGCCCGCACCAGGGTTTAAAAGTAGAGCGTTCGTGTGGACATCCTACGCTATGACAGGTCAGAGGCGCTAGCTGCTTCAACGGTAACGGAGAAAAAGAGAGGGCATCGAGGCCCCTACAATCCGCATCGTTGGGCGGCCTCTGCTTCCGCGCCAGAGGTGGCAGAATTCAGCAGCGGGATCCTTATTTACGGACCCACGGGCCAGGGAGAGAAAACGGGTTCTCAGGAACGCACAAGCTGTGCAGGGTTTTCATCTAAGAGAGCGCAGAAACCGAAAAGGCCACAGGAATCGGACAGCTGCCAATACAGGAGTTTGGAACTGCTCCAGCAGGAAGCGTGGGAGAGAGGCAAGCTCTTCGAGGCTCCAGCAGAAGCAGCTCTTCGCCACGCCGAAAGCCGGCTGCGGCCCCCCCACCTCGGGCGAGGAACTCGGACGTCGCTGCGTTCTCAAGTACAACAGGCTAACATTTGCTACCATCTTAACGGTTCATCCTTACCTTTGTGATCTTTCAAGCTCCTGGTCTCAAGGGCTCCCGTGGAGCCAGTTTCAGATTCGACATCTTCCACCGACGGTCTCTCGGAGATGTCCGATCGCGTCGTCTCATCCAGCTCCTGACCGGCCCTTTGTCCCGACGGCGATGCGTCCAGCAGCTGCGACGATTCAGCAGAGTCGTGCGTCCGGTCAGCTGCACCCTCCGCCACAGAATCCCCATATGCCACGGCCTCCAGGGACGCAGCATAACCCAGAGAAAGCGCCATTTCATCTTGAGCGATAGGTACCTGGAAGGAGGTTAGAAGGTCAGACAGACGGGAAGACAGGGTCCAAAGGATCGCGTTCATCTCCCTTCTTCCATCCACACCTACAAACGGCTGCTCCAGTTCCGATCATCAGCGCTAGACAGCACCGATGCACAATCATTGCTCTTTTGCTGAAACACACCAGAACACGGCCGATTGCAAAGCATTCCGCAGCACCTCCCTCACTCCCGTTAACAAGTCCAAGGATAACTCCTTATATTCTCCACCAAGTTCCCGACTTGCCGCCTCCCTTTCCGCAGCTGCCCCACGTGAACTCCCCCAGGCAGCTGCCCCGCAGACCGGCGAGGTACCTTTGACGCTCACTGGGAAGCGGCGACAAGCTGCAAGGAAGCAGCGAAAGGGTTCCGCTGAGCAAGCTGTCCATGCTGGAACCTTCCCACATCGGTCCCTACCGGACAGGGTGGTTTCACGCACGCATCCCTAGAAACAACCTCCCAGATTGGAAGTGGAGCCCCCTAACTACCAGAGACCTTGGAAACTCCTGAGATGATCAGCGTGCTACGTTTTGTCGGGGTCTTCTTGGCAGGCTTGTTATTCGTCTCAGTCAGCTGCCTGATCGCCGTCTCGGCCACCGGATCCAAGCCGTTGGGCATACGGCCGTCCCCTGAGCAGAAGAAAGATACCAACGCTTGAAGTAGCAACCTTCAGCACAGGCAAGAGGTCGCTCGCCGACGGCGGTGCTTGTAATGGGCAAATACACGTGCGCAAAGGCAGAGAACAGAATCTATTACGGACTTGCCTGAATAAACCAAAGGAAGGAAGCTCTGTATAGCTCTCCGCTCTTGCCGATTCCCCAACAGACACATTAAAATACCCTTCCCACTCAACAAAGGCTTCCAAATGCTCCCAAGAGTTTGGGCAGCCTCGGTCGCAAACCATCAAAATGGCCGCAGCGCTCCATCCCGAAGACAATCAGAGCCCCGAGGACAGAGTAAGCAAAGCTCTTTGGGTCTGGATAGGCTGGAATGTTCTCGTCAGGCAAGGAAACACCCAGAGTCACAGACCGGAGAGCCAAAGTGGAATTTCTGTTACCCACCCCCGCCTTCACTCGGGACTCGGGCGTTCTCTTCCGCAGCAAACGCGAACGAGTTCAGCAACCCACATTCAGACTGTCGCTTTCCAAGAAAGCTTAAGTAACGCAGCGCCTCCGCTAAGAGTCTCAAGATTTCCAAGCACTTACGGCTAACGCTGGGTAAGGGGCCATGAGGGCAGCCACTCTCCAGAAGGGCCATCGTCTTCTTTTCAGTCACTTCCACCTTGGAAGGCGACCTCGACGGTGAATCTTCATGGCGAAGGAGAGGCAGAGACACAGAAACACCAGTAAGCGGAGAGGAAGCTTAGGCATCTTCGCTACCGTATCGCGGCCCCCTACGCACACGCCTAAAAAGCCTCAGACGCACGCCGAGAGCCTGCAGAGGCTGGTTCCACGAGGCTTCGCAGCGACGAAGCAGCAAGAACCCTATTGGAAAAAGACACGCGAAGCAGTCCCGTTGCAAGACCCCATTTGTGCCATTTCCCAGCCCCATCTCAGGAAACATCCAGCACCACATTCATCAGGACATCAGACCGCAAGCAGCAACGACCCCCGGTAAGCAAGGTCAACGCGCTTTCAGCTCCACGTTCAGTACGTACAGCGTAACTTCTTTAGCAGCGAAGAAAACAAAGCAAGAGCGGCAAAAAGCTTAGCGCAATGTCACGCAGTGGCGTACAGGTTAAGAGCCAGGACCTCCCACCACCAAAGCACGTCAGAGAGGCTCGTCCCTCTCTTGCCTCCCCCCAAA